TAAGGGAAGTGGTGTCGGATGAATTTTCGAGGACAAAAATATTCTAAGTGGGGGAGAGTTGTAACGCCCGGAAATTCATTAAATTATTTAAATGAATTATTGAGGATTTAAATTGTTGGAATTTAGTCGAAGAAGGAATTATCGGAATAATTATAAGGAACATTATTGGATTAAATATATACTGTTAGAATTAATAATCGAATAATTAGTCAATTTAGTCAAGAGAAATTAATATTGGAAATAATGTCGATTTTAATAGAATATTATTTTATTAGTTGGGTCAAGTGGGGTGTGTGAATTAGCAAGATTAGGAATAGAATTAATAGGCCCATTAAAGTTACTAGTAGACCTATTATTATATTAGGTTATAATATATAGAGGTTAGCAACCAAAAGCAAAAACAATTATCACGTAGCAGTAGAAGAAGCAAGGGTTTGGAGGCACCAAGTGGGGGGCAAGCAAATTTAGAGAACTCGCCGTCAAACCAGTTGCAGTTTCAACCGGAGAATTCGACCGACCGAAAAACTAAAAGGTAAGGGTGGGGTTCGGATTTTATAACCGGGAATATGATGTTTGATATGTGGGTTAGAGGATTGATGTTTTTGTTCTTGAATTGGATGATGTATGATGAAGATTTGATGCATTTGAATGAATAATAACGTTACGATATTATTTGATCGATGTAGTAAAAGAGTATAATGTTAGGTGATGATTTAGTATGTTTATAATGAGGTTTGTAGGACTGTAATTAGATTCCTGTAGTGAAATTACAGAAGAAACGCGGAAAATTATGCAGAAAATCACAGGATGCGTCGACCTCAAACTGGATGAGTCGATGCAAGGAGGCTGTTAGACTCAGGATGAGTCGATGCATGCAGGGCTTGCGTCGATGCATGTTAAGTATAAGACTCAGGATGAGTCGACGTGAAGAGAGGACATGTCGATGCATGATGAGTACAAGACTCAGGATGAGTCGACACGAAGAGTACATGTGTCGATACATGCTGTATTGAAAACCAGAATGAGTCGATCCATAAGGGGGATGTGTCGACTCATAGTATGCAGGAGAAGTAGGACGCATCGACCCATAGTGTTCTGTGTCGATACATAATGTTGGATTTTTGACAGAATTGACTTTTAATTGCTGTAACTTGAGTTTTAGGATGCTGTTTGAGATGTCGTTCGAAGCGTTGATTAGCTAATGCGATGAATATTATTCTAGATGATTTAAATGATGGATAAGAAGTGTAATTCCAGTGACCAATTTAGTATTTAGAAATTAATTCCGTTCTTGGTCGTTGTGCTAATTTTTGGACAGAATAATGAATAATAGATGTTTAGAGGCTGCTGTTAGAATTATGACAGTAAGATTAGTGACAGTAACGATATAAATTAGCAGAATAACAAGATGGGTTACTGCACTATTATTATACAGTTGAGTATTAGTGAGATTTTATTGATGAAGTTATGTTCGATGATTTTTGTGATAATAAATGATGTTTAATAAATTATTTTGATGTTATGAGATGTTATTGTTTTGAGATAATTGAGATGTGATTGAATATGTGAAGTGTTAGGATTATTTCCAGTGATGCAGGGATGTAGGCGAATGCCTCGTAATGAAGTTTGTGGTGAATGCTATATCTGTGATGTTGTATGTTACATGAGTCTCATACATTTGTATTTTTGTGAAGGCCTGTATTGGCGGATTTGTGAAGTAGGATTATGCCTTGTGCCTCTATTAATTAGAAATTAGTGAAGAGGGCTGAAGCCCTGTTGGTACCACATGCATATGCACAGTTGTGTTGCATTCGAATTGCATTTTGAATCGCTAATGATAATTGTGAATGTTTATTGATTGTTGTGTGTTGTTGAGAAGCGGTGAAGTTTATAATGCTCTTGTCTAATATATTAATTATCATAATCTTATTTATATTATTCGATGTCTCACCCCTTTATTTTTTTCGCTGTTGCCTTTATACTGGTAACGTGCAGGTAATGAGGAGTAGAGACTTAGTAGCTTGTTGGTATCTTCGCTCTGATACGTATCACTCGGGGGGGGGGGGGGGGGGATGAACGCTTATTTGATTTTATGATGTTTTAAGTTTAACTCAAGTTGTTGTTTTCTGTGAATTAAGTTGTTTAAAAGATGCTATGTTTCCTTTGAAGTTTTTAAGTTATGAATCCGCTGCATATTTATGGAATCAAGTTGAAATACTTTTGAAGACTAATAAATTGTTATAAGTTCTTTGGATCAATATGTGTTATGTATCTATTATGATAGGTTTTTATGTTGTTGGTTTTTGGAATGAGAATGTATTTCCCCATGTTTGCGGAAATTTTGGCACTCTGATTTAATATAACTGTGGGGTAGATTTGGGGTGTTACGCTATCCATGGGAGATGGAGAAGGGGAGTGATAGTTTCTTCCCCGTTGATTGTCACGGTCTCGTCGGAGGGAGGGTCTCCTCTATTTCTGCTTTTGTTCAGGCGAAGGAAATCGAGCGCGGTCGATTTGCCGGTTCTCTTTCCTCTTATTGAATGAAGGGGAGTCTTGATCTCTTGGAAGAGGTGCGCGGGTGCGTTTCTTGAAGAAAGAAACGTCACACCTCTCCTTTATGGGTGGTAGACCACGCCTGGGTGGTGATATACTAGGGGAGTTTCGTCGTCGGGTTCTCCGAGAAGGAGATCTTGATCGCCTGTTCTCCCAGGCCCCTATCCTTTGATTCTATTGTAGGATGAGGGCGTTGGTCTGAATGATAGCAGCGAGTAGTACTGCCATGGCCGAGTCGTCGTTGATAGGGATGTGAAATGGTTGCATAACTTCTGGAAGTTCCTCGGTGGAATTCTTGGGACGTCCCTTGTCCAAGAATTGGTCGTCTCTACATCGAGCGTCGGTTGAATCTGGAGACCCAGTCTATCCATCTCGGAAGCCCAGGTTGTCCTCGAGGTGAGGATGTTCTTGACTTTCGTCTGTTTTGTGAGCAGGGGAAATAATAGTCTTTCTGAGCAGATGAAGATCATCATGGTCGACCATGATTAGTGAGAGGAATCTTGAAAAGTTGCTTTGATCTTAAGTTTCAAGGAAAGAAATATGGAGAGAGCAGTTTCCCACATACGGCACCACTGATCTTACCAGTTAATCAGAACCTGTGAAGTGGTCGAAAGATGATCTGTAATTGGGCTGTGATGTCGAAGAGAAAAAGGGGGTTGTACCTGCAAGGCACTCCAACGATCAAGTAAGAGCGAGAACAAGGAGGTACAAGCAAAGTATTAGGTGGTGAATAATGAATATTCGATACATGGCCTTCACAGGTGTGAGGGTTTATATAATGCCTCTGGTGCATGACCATTGGTTCCTGATTTCACGCATGGATATGCGGGTCCGTAAAATCAGGTAACTGCCAGGACTTGATCAAATCGGACAAATTTGCTCGTAGCTAGTCGTTGGTCCCGAGGAGGGGGTCAGTTACAGACATCTCTCTGATCAGTTCCTGGTGGCCTACACGATATTGATGTCGGGCTGGCTGAGAGGATGCTCGGCGATCATCTTGGACCAGTGTTGGCTTGGGAGGGCAAATGACGATATTGTCTGATGGATAGCGGGCAGTTCGGATCACGGACGTGCGGACTGTACAAAAAAAAAGGGTCTAGACTGGACTCATTCAAACTGTCGAGTCAGTTCAACAATACTAATTTATTTAATTTAATATAGTTAATTTTTAAGTCAACTTTAAATTATATTTAGTTTAAAATTAATTTGTTTATTAAAAAAAATTGCTTTGTTAAGAATAATTTAAAGATTGGACTTCATTTATATAAAAAACAAAAAGATTGGACTTGATATGAAATTTAAAAGAAAATGATAATCTATATTCTTAGAATATTTGTTAGTAAATAAAATATAGAAACTTTTTTCATTAAAAAGATATATATTTAGTTTCTTAAAAAGTTTAAAGAAAATCAAAACAAAAATTCTATTAGTTGATTTCTTCCAAATTTAAAATTTCCTTAAATTAAATCAAATTTTATTTAAATTTACATTTACAATTAAATTCAATGAGAATTTATTCAATGTTTTTACCAAAGAAATCAAATTCAATATGAATGAAAACGTTTTAAAAAAAATAAAAATAAAATAAAAAGAAAAAACAACATAGAGTAAAAGCAATTTTATTTAATTTTAATTGAAAAACTAAATGCAATTTTTATTATTATATATATTTTTAAAATAAATTTAATTGATCGTTTAGAGAAGATGATATCTGTAATAAAAAAAATGAATTTAAAAGAAATCACATTGATAATATAAAAAGTAATTTAATAAAAATATATCATTTTATTATATTATATAAATTTTAAAAAATTATAATTTTATTTGACAGAATTCATAATCATGATTAATTAATAATATAACTTTTTTTTAATATTATCGGTATATTATTTATTTTCTTAAAAAAATATCTCCATCTATAAGAAATCAGTAAAAATATAAAATAAAGAGATGGATATATCCGAGCAAAAAAAATAAAATATATTAAATTCAAAATCAAATATATAAAAAAGGAAAACCGACCCAAAAAAAAAAAAAGAGGATATACTAGTTTAAATCGAAACGCCCCAAGATATCGTTCAGACAAAGTCTTAACACGTTCTCCAAAGCAAGGGCTCTTTAGTCATTTCAGCAAAAAGTCGAATTATTATTATTATATTATTATACACGCACGAACTTGTCAAATATCCATTCAAATTCCAACGCGTAACGTAAAATAACCTAACAGATACATAAAAAAAATCCCGTCGATTCAAATTCACCTGATTCTATCAATAATAATTTGAAAATAAAATATATATTTTTTAATAATTAAAAGAAAAATTCTAACCAAGATATTTTCTATAAATAACGCGACCTTATCACGCTTCTCTTGCATCCATAAAATACAACTGTAATGCTTTCTCTCTCTTCCTCCATTAACACACGTTTTCTTTCTCTCTCTAGAAATGGGAACTGCGATTCTCCGTTCACACGATTGCCTTCAACGTCGCTTTCTTCCCAACGACGTCCTGTCAGTCCCTTCCTCACCGATTCCATCTCGCAAAAACTGTAGCCCTAACCCTAACTCCAACTGCAAATCCTATGTCAATCAGAATCGTCGCCGGAAACGGAGTCCGGTGGCCACTCCGCCGGCGAAACAAAACGATCGGAGACAAACCGGAGATCGTACTGATGCTCCGGTGAATCTTGTTATGGGACAAGTTAAGATTCTCAAAAGAGGTGAGAAGTTGAGTCCGGAGATTAATGATGGAGGACTCGTTCTGAAGGCCATGGATCTGGATCTCGATCTGGATCTCGATCTGGATCTGGATCTGAATCTGGATCTGGATCTGGATTTAGACAAACGTGATTTGGTGTTGGGATCAACGGATCGGTTTGGACCTGATCCGGTTGCCATGCAGAAGCAGATTATGATTTCGGAATCGAATTTGAAAGACGGAATTTATGCTGGATCGGCCTTTTTTACTTCACCTCCCCCTAGTTCTGTTCCGGTTCCGTTTTTTTTGAGGAAGAACGGTGTTGCCACCAGTGATTTGAGGCGGTTGTTACGGCTTGATTTGGAATGATTAGTTGATTTTCGTTTGTTTACTTTCATCTTCACTAGTAGATGATATTCGTGGATGGTTATGTTTGTTCGCAGGGTCCCTAGCGTGTTTCCTTTATTTTTTCAAGAGGATCACACGTAGGGTGTGAACGTATGAAAAAGCGTTGAAAGCGAAGCAAAGGTGTTAGTAACGGAGGTTTAATTTTTCAGTGTTTAGTTCCTGATGGGGACTTAGTTACAGTTAGGTTCTGGGGTTAGTTCATATGTTGATGATGAAAGGAAAATGGATCTATTGTAATTTCCTATAAGTCTGATATACGTGAATATAGACTAAATAGTGTTTGAATTAGGGTTTGTGAAGTGAAGGTGTTTGATTTTCAGATCGAATTGAAGAATAAAGTTAGTTGTTTTAGTTTTAGGTTTCAGGTCTTTGGTTATATTCTGAGTTTATTTTCTTTCTGGTGTACCAGTATTTGTGAAATTCAATGGTAATAGAAGAAAGCATTTAGTATTGAAGTTACTTTTCTTTGTTGATTTGGATATTAAGTCTTTAGTCGATGTGGGTATGTCAAGAGTCAAATTCATGATTAAGTGATCTTGTCCCTTTTATGGCCTGAATTGAATCATTATGAGTGATTTTTCATGAATCCTTTGTCCCTATTGATTTGTACTTGATTTGTTTTGATTGATGAAATCAGATGGAGTGGGATGATGGATTAAAGTGGTATCCCTTATTTAGCTCATTTAAAATTGGATGGAGTGGGAAGAATTTCTTTCCATTAACTACCACCTTATTTCTCCCCCTCCAACCTTCCAATCTTGGTGACATGAAAAATTTGCCTTGTTAATCTTCATTTCGCTGCATTCCGCTAGCCTATGTTTGGATAATTTAGTGTGAACCTAACCGGATGGAAAGGAGCGGGCGGAATTGAATGAAACAGAGCGGCAGTATTTTAAGATGGAACAAAGCCAAAAATTTCATTTTGGTAAGTGATGAGCGGCAGTATTTTAAGATGGAACAAAGCCAAATTGTCATTTCATGTGGTGTTCCGCCTCACTCCATCCTCTTTATCAGTTCAAATCTAAATGATGAAGAAGTTTTTTAATGCGTTCCTTGCGTGTGAGATATAACTTTTTACATAACAATTAGTTTCCTAATTGATTTTTCTGTGCTGTTTGATTTTGGTTCACATGATCTGTGCATTAAGGGAACTAGATTCCATGACAGTTAATAATTTAAACAATTGTAAATCTCTGTTGAAAAGTTTATGAGAGTCTTCTGATGCATCTGCACTCTCGCATCTTCACTCCATTCTTTATTTTATTTTTTAGTCAAGATGTAATAAATCAGTTCCTGATCTTTAATGGAGTCACAGTGAGTTCAACCCTTAAAAAACAACCATTTTGCGCTATAAATGCTATAAAGGCTATACAAGCATGTTGTGATGTTTGACTAGGGAACCCCTGCAATTTGGTATGCATAAATGCCAATAAAAGACTGGTAAGGCACTACATTATTTTGACTCAGTTTCATACACTATTTGAGTTTCCCTAAAGAGGCAAAGGATTCCCTTTTTTGTAAAATTCATCTGATGATCATAAGATTGTTAATATTTTTATTTTAACCAGTATTCTCTTCACATACCTGTAATGACTGTTCTCTCAAATTGGGAAGGATCAGCAAAACTATCCCTCAAGATTTACTGCTGTATTCTCTAGTCTGGATTTAAATCCAGACCTCTGCATAAAATGTTTAACTAGTTACCAACATTTCTCATTGTAATACTAAGTGTGGGTTTGCTTCATTTGTTTTATGGTTGGGCTCAGTATTTTTGCGATGTTTTACATGATTTAGATGGCTGAATATCAATCAACTTTATCATTTTCCACAAATACAATATGAGCTACACCGTCCTTTTCAACTAACTTTATAGTTCTCTAGTTTTTTAATTACAACCAACGGAAAGGTAAACTCTATTGATCTGGATAAACTTTTCGGTTCTATACTGCATCATGTGCAGTTGATTACACATCTAAGTGAATTAATTCAGTTCCAGAGTCCTGAGATAATCGGTCTGCATCATCCAACAGTATCCTTTTCCAGAACCAGTGTTTCCTCCAAATAATTGACATCTCCTCGATGGGAATTCCCTTGGTTTCAGGTAGGAACAAGACAACAAATATTGTCATGATGCTTATCCACCCAGCAAAAAACAGAAAGATCCCATACTTGAAAGAACATAGAAGGGAAAGGAATGCCTGCGCGATTATGAAAGTGAACAGAAGGTTTACAGCCACTGTGATACTCTGCCCTGCTGATCGAACTTCTAACGGAAATATCTCACTCGGGACTGTCCATCCTAGTGGCCCCCATGACCACCCAAATGCTAGAACAAAGAGAGACAGTACAACTACAACTGATATTGAATAGCTTTTCGACAGTGCTTGGTTTTCTCCAAACTTGACCCCCAAAATTAAGGCAGCTATAACCTGTGCATATGAAAAACGAGACTATAATCAAGGTTTAAAATTCATACTTCTTGTAAGCATAACCGGAAATTGCATAAAATGGTGATTTTTCAATACCTGGCATACAATCATTTGTATTCCACCGCTGACGAGTAAGGGTCGTCTCCCCAATCTATCTACTGTTGCAATAGAAATGAATGTTGATAAGGCGAGAACTACTCCAGTCAAGGCTGAGGAGTAGAGAGACGCCGCTCTGCCAAATCCCATGCTTTGAAATAGCATTGGAGCATAAAAAAGAATTGAGTTTATGCCAGTCAGAATCTGGAATGCAGGCATGCAGATAGCCATCACCAACTCCGGTCTGTATCTTTTTTTAAGGATGTTCCAATAGGGGTGCTTTATCGAGTTTGCCAATTCGCCTGCATCAAGCATATCTTGGAACTCTGCGTCTACGTCATCCGTTCCTCTTATTTTTTCAAGGAGCTTCCTTCCTTGTTCCTTTGATCCTCTTTCTACTAAGCTATTTGGGGTCTCTGGAATAAATATTCCTCCGACAGTCATTAAAAGAGTTGGTATTGCAGCCAGGCCAAGGGCCAACCTCCACCCCCACGGTTGAATCTGCTGCGTTCCATAATTGATCATATTTGCTGTAAAAATCCCAAAAGTGGTTGCGACTTGAAACATCATGTTCAGGGCTCCTCGAAATTGGGTCGGCGCCATCTCTGACAAATAGAGCGGAATAGCCTTCAAAAAGAGGTATAGTATAACTGGATTATCTTCTAACTCAAACATACTTTATTGGACCCTCGACTGTTTCCATCGCATTACTTCCTTTTTTTTTTTCGAGTAAAATTTGTTGACCCTACATTAACACTCACATAATTAATGTTGGTAGCCACTTTTGGAAGCTACATTTGATACTCCTACTATGGTTTTCTAGACTTTTGGACATTGGTTTTTAAACACGATAACTGGTTGCTTGATTGCTCTAAGAAAATGGATAAAAGATTATAGAAAAAATGCTATACCTGATTTCCAAATCCAATGCCAACACCTTGCAGAACTCTTCCTATGATGAGCATTTGAAGATTAACAGCTGCAGCATTAAGAGCTGAGCCGATGAGAAAGTTGATACCACCAATTATGATACTTGTCCTCCGGCCAAACTTCCTTGTAACTGGAGCTGCAACCAGGGATGCAACAAAACCAGAAATGTATAAAGTAGAGGTAAATGCAGAAATGCCCTGATTGTTATACTTGCAATAGTTGTTTTCATGTGCTTCCAATTTATGTTTATACACTGCGGGGAAGAAACTCTGAAGAAAGTCATCCATGGAAGCAACCCCTCCTGTTAACCATGACACATGCGTCAGTTTTCTGATAAATTAACCATAAACATTATTTTTATTTACATATATTAGACAAACTAAATTAAATTAGCTTAGCTTATGTCTAAGATTGTTATTTTTCTGCTATAATTGATCTGTTATTTGGTTAATAGGTTGACTCCATCTCATATAACCTTGCTTGTATCTTTTCTTTTCATTAATTCAATTTCACAAGGTTATTCAGAAAACCCTTTGATCAAATCTAGTAATTTTCTTTATATTACGTTGTTATTACTACTTTTATTTTTTAGTTCTGTTTTTAAGTATTTGAGAAATGCCAGTCTATTTTATTTACCTTATAATGTCTATTTTGAAATACTTGAGATATGAATTCTAGTTTCTTACATATATAATTATGTTTTATAAGTTTTAGGAATTCAGTTTTTTGATTTTTTTGGGTACGGTTACTGTTTTTTTGGTATATATAATGTTTTTTGTTTGTCAGCCATGCTTCCGCAATTTCCCGTTCTGCCATCCGCCATATTTTTATGGCGGATTTTCGGTTTACCGCTATTTTCCGCAATCCGCCATAGACAACACTGCCCTGAGATGATGTCAATGTTTCATCCTCAAGTCTATTTAATGCTTCTCTTGAGGTATTGTTTGCTTTTGGTTTTGTGTGCGCCCTCCCGATTTTGTCTTTTGTAAAAGACGTCCTGTTAAGTTTTCTTGAGGTATTGTTTGCTTTTGGTTTTGTGTGCGCCCTCCCGATTGTCTTTTGTAAAAGACGTCTTGTTAAGTTGAGAAGTGTGGGTGTTGTTTATAAACTACCCTTAGTCTTGAGTCACAAGCAATGTGAAACTTCATGGTTTACCAAATTACGATTCATTTTAGATTCTCTAATATTTTCTGAGAAATCCATTCTTTGAAACAAGGCGAACACACTGTTTCTGAATACTTCACCAATCTGTAAACTGTGTGGAAAGATCTTCGGTTACTACTTTCTTGCACTTGCAGTATGAAATGTAACTGTGAAGCTATTCGACTCATAAAAATTAAAGGGAACCTGAACTTGTTATTTGTTTCTTCAAAGGTTCAGGCAAATCTATGGAACTGGTTGTTCTCAATTCTTCTGATGTTTCCATTACCCTCTCTATTAATAAAGTTCTCTTCCGATTTTTGCCGCAACATTGTTCTCACAAGAAAATCCGTTCAAATATCACCTTGTCAAACATTTTTCCACACTCCTCCTTCCACATCAAAGATCTAGAAGATCTCAAATATTTCCTTGGTCTAGAAGTATCTCGTACCAACAAGAGAATACATTTATGTCAATGCAAATGCTATTCCTAATGATCCTCCTGCTTATAGATGAATTACCGCTCGTTTACTTTACCTTACTAATACCACCCGACATTAGTTTTGTCGTTCAACAATTGAGCCAATTCATGCAACATCCTCCAGCTCAAGGTTTATTCTTTCCTTCAAACTCAACCATTCAACTTAAAGCCTTCAGTGATTTAGACTGGATCCTTGTCAACATCTCTCGTAGCTCAACCACCGGATTTGTCATTTTCTTTAGAACCTCATTAACTTCACGGCACTTGAAGAAACAAACCAGTGTCTTTCATACATTCTCAGAACCCGCATAACGGAGCCTTATAATCACCAACGTGTGAGCTTCAATGGCTCGCTTATCTCCTTTAAGATCTTCACATCTCTTTCATCCAGCGTGCACTACTCGTCACACTGCTATGAATTCAAGCTTTCATAAAGGACAAAACACAGATATTAGTATATTACTGTCACAATGATAGACAGCAACTTCAAGCTGATTTGTTTCATCTTCCAGTAGCTTCTAGCTTCTGCAAACCAATTAACCAGCTCTCTTTACTAAACTTCTTGAACAGTCACCTTTCTGTAAAGTATATTCTAGACTGAGATTGTTTAACATATACTCTCGAACTTGAGGGGGACACTTAGGAGTTAAATATAAATTAGTTTAGTTGATTATTATTAGTTAGTCATTCTTCTGACAGTCTTTTGGTTAAATCAGTTACGGTTCTTATCCAACCTAGTTACTCTTGGGACACTGACACGGACACGGACACGCTTATTCTCAGACGTGTCTGTGCTATATAGATATTTTTTTAACTCTGAAGAGAAGAGATTTCTATAAATAGGAGTAAGTGTTGGATCATCATAAAAGGTTATACACAATGTCTTCTCCCTAAAGGTGATTCAAATCAACTGCTATCCTTGCTGTAGCACAAGATTTGTGTGGTAATAAGAAATTATAATGTAATTGATTTGGAAAATCAGAATCAAAATAACTGATATCCTGCAATCTAAGAAAAACACAGAGGGCTTAAAGCAAATTAAAGAATACTCAAAAAATGAGATTCTTTTTTCTTTTCTTATTTTAAGCCTTATGTCAGCCAAGTACAACCCATATGCCTTTCCTTTTTAAGCTTTCAACACACATATATTCTTATTTACAAGAACAAAAAAATCGAAACGACAAAGACTGAATAGATCGCACAAAGAAGATGATAAGTAAATAAAGAAGAGAGAACCTGAAATTCCAACATCATAGCCGAAGAGGGACCCACCAGTGGCAGCAACAATGCAAGCGATGATAACATGAACTGTGACCCTTCCTTTATAATGTTCTGCCCTTCCCTTACCCACCCCACTTCCAGTGTAAGGCCCATCTTCCATTTCCTTATTATTATTACAGGAGGCATAAAAGGGACACTAATACTTTATGGAAGAAGAAGAACATACACCATCACTTCAATTTTATATACACACAAGTCTAAAGTGCTTTTTTAGTTGGTGAGAAAACAAGTCTAAAGTAAAAAAACGTGTTTGTTCCGTGATTCTTTAACGAAATTGACAAAGGTTCAACTTATTATTACTATTGACCTTATTTGTAGTTTCTGTTTATTCATTATTGCACCCGCACTCAACGTAGAAATGAAGACAAGTTTCTGTCACAAAAAAATGATAAAGGAAACCAAGTTTCTAGAATCCAACACAAGACCCGTATGCTAGACAGATTCTTTGATATTTATGGGTCCCATTATGATATTGGACTGTTTTTGTCTGTGTTAAAGCCTTAAGCAACAAGTTAGAGATTTAATCTATATTACTGTAGTAGCTTTTATTATGAATCCAAAATAATTTTTTTGTGAATGTAAAAAATATTTTGTACAATTTTGAATGATTGAACAATATTTAGATCCACTTGTTGTTATTTATAGTACTCTCGTCAGCTATATACCACTCATTGGGTATGTACATACCTTTCACGCAATCCACTATTGTCACGATCTACCCTATTCTGAAATGTCCTGTCTTGGATTTCGCACCACCGGTTTCCTTATTATACGTTAAAAACACTATTTGCTTCTTAGTGCTTTTTCTTTTTCACACATATCCGTGCTTTTTCACACATATCCGTGCTTTTTCACGGTTCTTTTGCATGCAGAGATACTCTTACTACATTAAGAATGTCTAATAACACACGTATATCTATAAATGCATTTGTACATTAAAACTACGTAACGAACATGTTGATTTCTTTTATAAACTGAATAGGATCTTTAGTATGTAGGTATATAGAACTAGGTTCAACTTTTATCATTGGCTATGCGGTGTAATATTTTAAAAATCGGATCGGTCATTCAATCGGTGAGGATACTAAATCATTGATTTATTAGTCGAACTATTGGATTATTGATCGAACTGCATGATTAAACTGAATTAAATTGAATAATTTAATCGATAAATTAGTTTCTATAACAAAATTATATATTTATCTGTCTTTAATCTTTTTGTTTGTTCTGATTTTTTCTTACACTATTTGACAAGTTATTTTGTTGTTTGAGATTATTTAATCTGATTGTCATTGTTCTTTGTCTTACGTATCTTTATTTTCAATAAAATTAACATTATTGTTAGATTTTCAACGAGAAGATTTTAATGTGGTTCAATCTTTTAATTTCAGAATAGAGTAGTTAGATTCTTTGAGATTTGTTATTGAGATCTTAAATTTTATTGATATTATTTTTGTTGTTATCGAGATTCATTATTGAGATCTTAAATTCTAGTGGTTTAATCTTGTTGTTATTGTTGTTGTTTAAACATATTTATGTTATAAGTTTCACTACAACAAATACTCTAATTTGTGACGTGAATTTCATGTCACAACTTGAAAAATTACGTTACAATGAATTATTTGCGACGTGTACGATCACTTGACTGAGGAGAGGGTGGAAAATTGTTTGGGACGTGATTTCCATGTCACAAAATTGTGATGTGAAAATCACGTCGCAACATACTTTTATAGGATTAAAAGCATTGCAGAAAAAGCAGGTTGTGCAGAGGTAAAGTTACTCTATTTGCCACGTGATTTTCACGTCACAAATAGTGATGTGAAAATCACGTCGCTAAATAATTACGTTTAACACCCATTCAGTCTTCAGCTTTTGTTTTTTTTATATATAAAAATTAGGTTGCGACATGATTTTTACGTCACAACTTGTGACGTGAAAATCACGTCACTAATATTTTTCTTTAAAAAAAAGTTAATAACTGAAATTTATTTTCCTTTTATAATTAATTAAATTAATAATATTAATTAATTAATTCAATATATAATAAATTAAATTAATAAATTTAATATATAATAAATTTAATATATTAAATTTAATATAATAAAATTAATAAACTAAAATTATAAATTTAAGAATTAATTAGTAGGTTTAATTAAATAGTATGGTAGACAATTCAAATTTGTAAGTAAAATAAAAAAAATTAAGTTTACGGACCATCTTGGTTGGTATAATTGTCAATGTCAAAGTTATTTTCGTTTCCGTCATCCTCCGGTTCTTGACCATGAAAGTTTTGATTTCCACCAAATATTTGCATAAATTGTAATCATCCTTCATCATCCTGCTGAGGTAGTAATCGTCTAAGATTCCTTCACCGTCCTGCTGAGGTGGTAATCATCCAAGATTCCTTCATCATTCTACTGAGGTAGTAATCGTCCAAGATTCCTTCACCGTCCTGCTGAGGTGGTAATCATCCAAGATTCCTTCATCATTCTACTGAGGTAGTAATCGTCCAAGGTTCCTTCATCGTCCTGCTGAGGTAGTAATCATCCAAGATTCCTTCATCATCCTGCTGAGGTAGTAATCGTCCAAGATTCCTTCATCATCCTGCTGAAGTAGTAATCGTCCAAAATTCCTTCATCATCCTACTGAGGTAGTAATCGTTCCAGATTCCTTCATCATCCTGTTGAGGTAGTAATCTTCCAAGATTCCTTCATCATCCTGCTGAGGTAGTAATCATTCAAGGTTCCTTCATCGTCATGCTGAGGTAGTAATCGTCCAAGGTTCCTTCATCGTCCTGCTGAGGTAGTAATCGTCCAAGATTCTTTCATCATCATGCTGGGGTAGTAATCATCCAAGATTCCTTCATCGTCTTGCTGAGGTAGTAATCGTCCAAGATTCCTTCATCATCCTGCTGAAGTAGTAATCGTCCAAGATTCCTTCATCATCCTGCTGAGGTAGTAATCGTCCAAGATTCCTTCATCGTCCTGCTGAGGTAGTAATCGTCCAAGATTCCTTCATCGTTCTGCTGAGGTAGTAATTATCTAAGATTCCTTCATCATCCTGCTGAGGTAGTAATCGTCCAGTATTCCTTCATCATCCTGCTGAGGTAGTAATCGTCCAAGATTCATTCATTGTCCTGCTGAGTTAGTAATCATCCAAGAGTCCTTCATCATCCCATTGAGGTAGTAATCTTCCAAGATTCCTTCATCATCCTGTTGAGGTAGTAATCGTCCAAGATTCCTTCATCGTCCTGCTGAGGAAGTAATCGTCCAAGATTCCTTCATCATCCTGTTAAGGTAGTAATCATCGAAGATTCCTTCATCATCCTGCTGAGGTAGTAATCGTCCAAGGTTCCTTCATCGTCCTGCTGAGGTAGTAATCGTCCAAGATTCCTTCATCATCCTGCTGAGGTAGTAATCGTCCAAGATTCCTTCATCGTCCTGCTGAGGTAGTAATCACCCAATATTCCTTCATCATCCTGTTGAGGTAGTAATCGTCCAAGAGTCCTTCATCATCCTGTTGAGATAGTAATCGTCCAAGATTCCTTCATCGTCCTGCTGAGGTAGTAATCATCCAAGATTATTTCATCATCCTACTGAAGTAGTAATGGTCCAAGATTCCTTTATCGTTCTGCTAAGGTAGTAATCATCCAAGATTACTTCATCATCCTGTTGAGGTAGTAATCATCCAAGATTCCTTCATCATCCTGCTGAGGTAGTAGTCGTCTCAGATTCCTTTATCATCTTTTTGGAGTAGTAATCTTCCAAGATTCCTTCATCATCCTACTGAGGTAGTAATTGTCCAAGAATCTTTCATCATTCAACATACCTTTCTATTACAATCCAGATACGATCCAGATTCGGATGTCATTCTGTCACTCAAATACAGTCTAGATACAATCACCTTCGGATAACATCTTTAAGCCCATCTCCAACAACTATCCATCATTTCTATAAATGGTATGTTTAAGCCTATTCCCTACATAATCAACCATAACATCATCAAGTGCAAATTTCTGGGCACTCTAGTGTTCAATCATCTTCCACCTTCAAGTCACAAATGACAGGTTCGCCAAATCTAACTCTTCAAGTGTAATAAGATTGAACTAGGGCAGCTGTTATTTCCCAAAATTTTCCCTCTCATTTCTCAAAAGATCATCCTGGACCCTCAGATTTGCTTCGATCCAATTTCAAGCCTTGAATTACAAATTTTCCAAGAAAGTCATTCACAAGGGCAAAGTGGTCATTTGCACACAAATAAGTCAAACTTTGACTTTTGGATCAAAATCAAGTTTCAAGGATCATATTTCATCAAGACATGTTGAAATATGAAGTTTTTTTCATCAAGAAATTCAAAAGTCAAAATTACTTTGGAAAAGTCAAAATTCTAAATACTTAGAATTTTTCTAAGTGTTTAAGAAATATGACAAGCTCAGAACTTCTGGCCAGATTTTCACCATGATGCAAGCTGATTCTGGAAGAACTTCTAACACAAGAGTTTTAGATCTCAATAAGACCTAAAATATTGCAAAATAAAACTTCTCTTGGAAATGTTGGAATTTCAAGTTATAAATGTTCAAAGACACGTCCATGAAACTGAAGCACTCAACAAATTCTGGACATTTTCAAGACAGAGTTTGGTTATAACTTCTAGGCCTGTTTTCACGAAGGTTCAACCAAAGTTTGCAAAAGTAATTCAAAGAAAGTCTACAAAGCGTGTTACAAGCTTTCAGAAAAGTCTGAGAACTCCTTCAAAACATACTGGAGCAAAGGGATTCAAGGATCAGAAGTTGGATGTTTGTTCTAAGTTGCGCTGATGCTGAACTTCTGACCCATAATTAAGCTATGATGCATAATCTCATAGCCCATGATTTCTGGTTTGATAAATCTCATCATCATTTAATGCTCACAACTACTTTTGAGTTTTTATCCAATGGATTTCTCCACGTATGAGATAGAAGTACCATTGTTGTCCTTGAAAAGCAAACTTTTGTACAAGTTTATGCTGGGCCCATGCTTTGCTTTTGCATATGAGGGTAATTTTCCTTAATTCATGCTTACAAATCCAGCTTAGGCACGGCTAAAAGCTGCTAACCACCAT